TTGTGTTATCTTTGTCTAATATTTCAATTTGTTTGATGATCTGGAACATTTCAGTGTGACAAACATGCAAAAAAATAAGAAATCAGCAAGGGGGCAAACACTTTTTCACACCACTGTATTTGCATTTCACAAGATGTTGCACTAATCTAGCTTAATCCTGGAACTTCCCTAACATCTGGTGTTTAAGTGATAGACAGGTCTTATTCTGTCTGATGCTCCTATATGACTGTAACAGACCTCCCCCTCAGACTGTAGTGTGATAGGGAAATCTGTACCTATAGGACTCATCGATTCAGGGTAACCGAATATGGGCCCCAACCTTGTCCAAATAGTATCAGTGGAAATCCACACACAGTCAAACCTGTTTGGCCAGTCCTCCAAATACCGTCTATTTATTTTACCAGTGGCTGACAAGGCCACGACTGAAGCTGTTCAGCACTCAGTTTTATATTAACCTGAATTGGTTCTTTTTTGTTTTAGGGCTGTGTGAAATTTCACCCTGGCATTTTTATAATTCTCTTCAACTAACTGCTGAACAGACACCCCCTCTGTTACTCTGAATGGCTTTTATGGGAGAGGCTGTGCACAGGTGCAGCTACTTCCCAGATTCCCTCGTGCAAATCCAGTGTAAGGAACGTCTCATCGCTGCCCCCCCCCAGGTTCCCTCCTCTTTCCACTAATTCACTCTTCTCTCTCTTTTCTCAATTTCCCCCATGTGCCTTCACTCTTCTCTTTCTGTCTCCTCCCCTCTGTCCTTGCTGTCCTTTTGTTGTTGAAAATCACACATACAGTACTACATTGGATACGGAAATGTACATTCGTATATGTGTAAAAATGTGTATGATTTTTGGGAAAACTCCAAATCAAATACGAGTAAGAGTGGGCAGAATCAGATGAAGAGCATGTAGAAGTTGAGACTAGGAATTGTAAGAAGTGTTGATTATAGGAAGCAAAGCTTTGTATATATCATTACCCTTAAAGTTCTTGGTCTACAGTAGTTCTGCCTTCTTGTTTGTTGATAAATAAGCTTCAAACTTAAAAGCCCAAAACATCAACATATTAACAAAATACATTCAGCAACTATGCAACTATTTAGAACACAGGCAGCACGGTGGTGCACTGGTCATCACCGCTGTCTTATAAAGTTGGGCCCTGGATTCTACCTGTGTGGAGTTTGTATGTCCCATCCGCCCTGGGATTTACGTCTTATCCGAAGGACGATACCTCTTTATAGAATAGTGTTCCCATCACTATACTGGGGCATTAGAACCCACACAGACCACAGGGTAAGCACCCCCTGCTGGCCCCACCTCTTCCAGCAGGAGGTCTCCCATTGAGGTACTGGCCAGGCTCAGACATGCTGAGCTTCAGCGGGCTACCAGTTGTGAGCGGCAGGGTGATGTAGCTGCTGGCTGCCCTGTGGGTCAGGTGAGGATGGTCTGACAAGAGTTTCTGAGCTGTTGGCAAATACAGCAGCAGCCTCTGCAGCCTCCCACGTGCTGCAGCCGAGGATGGGGGGGAGACGGGCAGGTCGGAGGAACCTGCCCACACTTGCTCACTCTCTGTTGTGTGAGGCTCGCATTGTTCACGAGCTGTGAAAAACACGTGACTAGTTAATCCAAGGTCTGGTGGTTATACACATAGAAAAATATCTAATTTGACTGCTGTCATGAAGTCAAGTGGATTTCAGTGAGAGATTGCTGTAGTTTTCAACAACAAACCCAGCAATGTCTCACTTTCCCAAAGGAGACCCTCATTCCACGAGTGACCAAGCGACCAGTGGCTTCCGCACGGCTCTCGTCGTGACGCGCTTTTTTACAGTACCTGCTCCATGTGGTGAACGTCGCTCTCTGTGTCGAAATCCCCAGGGCTGAGATCTGACTCATCTGTAAACCTGCATCTACACAGGGAGAGCAAAAAAATGGCGTGCACTCAGAAAAAAGACAAAACCAACCAGAAGCCCTTCCCCTCAGGTATGCATCTAAAGGTATCATCGAGGAGGATGCTGCACATTGGTGGTGGTGGAAGAGAGTCCCCGTTACCTGTAATGCACTTTGAGTGGAGTGTCCAGAAAAGCGTTATCTAAGTGTAAGCAATTATTATTAATATTATTATAAAGGAACAACGTGCAACAGTGGTCCTGAAACAGGGGTGGGTGTTAAGTTACTGTATGTTTCTCAGGGTGAGTTGTTAAGAGAATGGCACTAACTGTCCACAGCTCCTTGTACCACAGCGACAAACTGCTCCCAGAGCTCCTCAGGTTCCATCTCCACCCATCCAGGATTGGGGTAAAGAAGGCTGACCTGCAAAAGGGGAACAGGAGACGGCACGATAATAACAAAAAAAAAATGCAGGAAGGAGATGAAACGGAGTAGCGTATAGATTTTTCTTTTGAAATCCAATTCGTTCTATTTCAACACAGCTTGGGAACTCGCCTACATCCAACAGAATCCGGGTCTCCCATTCTCACAAAGCGTTTTATTCCCGGTAAACAGAGCGGATTTATAGGATTACGCCCTATAAACTGGGCAAAACACCATGGCAGAATAATGTATCCCCATGTAGCAAATGACTAAGTCTGTATAGACCCTTAATTCTTTAAATCTATGTAGAATTGCTGTGCTAGCGGCTTTGTATTGTGAAGTTTTAACAACCGATCATAAACTTTAAATCAAATGCTCTGCCAATTTCTAAGGACCACTGACTAGGACCTCCTCTAAAAGAACAACTTTAGAAATACATAATGACACAGCATCGGCACTAGTCATTAAACAACTCTTTAATTTATTTTGCTCAGATGCAATATACAACGCAATAAACGGGAATTTCTTCTTCAAAGTTACAACAGTTTTTAGCCAAATTACAAAACATATGTCATTTTGCAGCGTTTAATCAGCTCGTTTTATGGAGCAATAATTAATGTTATTAATTAATATTGTGGCTAGAAGTGTCTTGAATTGTCATCTTAGAATGAGAACGTAAATGTATGAGGGCATTAAAAGTCCCTCAGTTAACAGACTGCGCTGTAGTCTGTGTTATGGAATGCAGTAAGAGAGACTTTTCCACCTCCATTTTCGTTATTCTCAAAACTAGAACTTCTTGTAATGCCTGTTTCGAGAATTGAATGGGCCAATCTATTGCGATGAATGTTCCCTCACCAGTTTCATAGCATGGCGTTTACAAAGCAACATCCATTTAATTTGCTTTAATACACATGAACATGAAAGAGTGACTACCGGTGCCTCCAGCTAAAAACTCATGAAACAACCAAAGCATTTTACCTTTTTCCTGCAGGAACCTTGTATGTGCGCTTTTTTGTCGTAGACATGCCCTCGGATAGTCGTTGTACCCACATCCACAGAAAGAACGTACATTTCCTTCTTAAAACCGTTTCTTTGAGATCCCATTCTGCTTCATATATTGCAATAAATCGTTTACATCGCCGCAGAACAATCGGAAACGTCTCAGAGGTCTGACCAGCGAAACAACCTGTGAATCCCAGTTCTCACTGGCATGCGTTTCAGCGTCTCTCTATTTTGCCAGTTTTCCATACAAAAGTCATGTCTTGAACATAATCTCTTTACATAAACCCATGAAAACAAATAATTTTAAAACTTGACAGAGCAAAGCTCGATGCATAGATTCTCCACCATCTGCTGTAGAACGTAATCTTTCAGGAAACGTCAGATCCCAATTGCACTTGGCTTCAAATATTTTTCCAACCTTTAGTCCTTTTACAGCCCCGTTGACCCACTATTGATACCCTCTCGAGCTTCGAACCAACCCCTCCTTCAATCCAACAGGCCGAAGTCCTTAAGGTCCGATTTCGAGATTTATTTCTTGCTTTAGGATTCCTCCGTCAAAACACTGTATGCACGGCAAGTTACACTTTCCACTTTCACAACAGCGCTTCCTACAACTCCCTCCCATTTTCTTACCACGCTTTCTTTCCAAGTATCACCATCAAAGCATTTAAAACGATCGTCATGCGACAATGAATCCAAAAGCTGAAGAAATATGAATTTGCACGTATTTAATACTCGAGCATCTTTCTTACTACAGTACGCTGCGGGCTTTGTGGGTTAAATGAAGTTAGCGAGACGTCACGGATCAGTCGATAAATGGGAGGGGACATTTCTTAAAGGCAAGATACCGTTTTTTAGATTTGAAGATGCATGTATTGCTAGTAAAAGCGGAAAAAATATGCCCAACTTTAAATTTAAATTATTTAGAATCCACGGAAAAATACTATTTATCCCCCTTTGGTTTCTGAGAATTGTTAATGACTTGAATTGAGCTGGAATGTTCTAAAGAACTGTATAATATTCCTGGGAAAGAATTAGGTTTAAAACAGGAGCTCAATATGTTTTGTTAAACCGTAATTATAATTAAATAATGAACTTAAGATACGTCTTTGTACATTCAGGTGTAGCTATCATTATATTTATATTTTCAAGCTTTCCCTGAGTTTAATTGCTCTTCTCTTGAGGAAAAAGTACTACAGTATATATGTGCAGAAGATTAAGTCAAATTATTTCCTGTAAACCAATACTGTGAACACAAAGCTGAAGTCCGTATCAATATTTAGGAAATGGGATACTTCTGGAGAAACACACAACAGCTGAAAAGGTGCCAATGTTAAATTTCAAAATACCTATCATATCGGAAAGAGAAAGGTGTCAGTTCAGAAACCAAGCCTTGAGCTGTTTTCCCTTTTGAACTCGACCGTGTCCTATTGAACAGTGGGGATATGAGTGTACCCATGTTATCTCTGTTATGTACTTGTTATCTCTATTCTGTATTTTTTCTCATTACTTCTGGAGCTTGTGAACAAAAACTGTATTCACCACATGAAGGCGTAAAATAATAGTTTTCCTTAACTTTTTTCAGTGCTGTTTTTAAAGGTCAACATTTCTCTTTAGTCTTTCTACAGTGGCATTAATATTTCACGGTATATTAAAAAAACACCCTCACCGAACTGTTTAAAGAAATTGAAGCACTCGGCATAAATTTTGAAAATATACCCATCATAAAACTCTGCATCTATTAGAGCCGACCCTCTACATACATTAAAAAGATCCTTTTTAACTAGGATCTAGTTAAAAAACGGTTCCGGTCGAGAGGGAACGCTGGCGCATTTGGCTGCCGCTCCTCTCACCAGTTTTTCATTTCTATCTACTTATTTATGTTTTTTTTTCCCTT